GTTAAAATAAAACATTTGAATATATAAAATAATGTATTTTATGTAATCTATCTTATAATATGATCTTTTATTATAAATATTAAAAACTTTAGAATGCTCAGAGCGCAAAAATTTCAAATCAAACTAATTGAAGCAGGCGTCTCTTTTCCTATTTGAGAATGTCTACTTCATAAAAGATTCATCTACTCTTCGACATGGTGCTGAAAGAAATGGCGACAAAAGTCCAGAAATCTTTTTATGTCATAACAATGATATCACATTCATTATAATGGTAATAATAATTACATTGAAATGACGACATCTCATCATTCTCATTGATCGTTTTTTTTTTACATTTCAACGTTGGATTAAGCTCTTTGAGCTTGGATGAACGTATTGAAAGAAATAAACAACGAATGGTAATTGTAGATACAAAAATTCGTTCCCAGACTACAAAGCATATAATAATAACTAGCAATTAAATACCGACAAGAAGTTACCAATTTTAACATCTCTAACCGAATACGCATCGCGAAATGATAAAAAATTTGGAGATAGATATCTTAGAGCTATGATCAAAATTCTTAACTAATTTCAATTCGATTTTCTTTAATATGTGTGAAAAGTGTGAAATTTTATAATGCCATAGTGAACTATATCAAACATTTACAGAAGATGTCATTAAGCAGAATTAATCTTCAAGCATAATAAAAACTAAACACTAAAAATACAGAAAATATTAAACTTTAATATATTAAACTATGAGATAGAATAAAATCTTTCTATGGTGTACGAAACCTACTGGTTCTTTAAAAACGGTCGGTTTTGTGTAAAATTATATATAAATGTCATCTGAGATTATGGCAGAGCTTGCCATAATCACAGATAACACCGTGATTATGGCAAGCTCTGCTGAACAACTCCAATTACTGCTAAACAAAACAAACAGTTTCTGTGAAAAGTATGGACTAAAAATGAATATAAAAAAGACCAAATACATGATAATAACAAAGAAAACAAATATACCAACAAACATACATTTGCGAAATGTACCGATAGAAAGGGTTGATAAATACAAATACCTAGGAACCTGGATTTCAGACAATAATGATCAAACAACCGAAATAAGAGCTAGGATAGAAATAGCAAAAAAATGCGTCTGTAAAAATGAAAACAATACTCTGCAACAAAGATCTTAGATTAGAACTGAGAGTAAGGGCACTAAGATGCTACGTGTTTTCGATACTGCAATATGGACTTGAAAGCTGGACATTGAAGCAAGAACACATAAATAAGTTACAGTCCTTTGAAATGTGGTGTTGAAGGTCAGACCGGGGAGTTGGGGTGCCTACATTGTAAAATATGGCATGCGCCCTTCCCTCCATGCTATGGAATCCTGGACGAGCCGTCTGTAGTCAATACCCCGAGGTATGAGCGGGAACACAAAGTGTACTAATACTCATACGCTTCTGAAACGCACCTGGCGCATTCTAAGGGCCTTCACATTTTACTCTTTTTCAACTTGTCTTGAGTGAAATGTCTTTAATCTTTCCTATCGGCCTCTCTTTGGTAACTCTTGTTTCTTCCGACCCCGAATGGCTATTAGGTTTCCGAGGGCAGACGGGTCACTATATTTCCTTCCATTACACACTCTAGCAACGCAACGGGAAACCACCTAAGCCTAATTTTCCCAAGAAATAATCATGGAAATGGCTGATAAATACAACGGCCCCGAGTACGGGCGCTCCTTAAATGGAGCAGGGGTGCTAAGAATCTCCCGGTCAGCTAGAAACATGAACACATTTTCTAAAGAAAGAAAAATATGTACATGGAATGTAAGAAGCATGTACGAACCAGGAAAAATTCACAACACCATTAAAGAAATGAAGCGTCTAAATATAAGTATCCTTGGAATAAATGAAATGATATGGCCGGGGTCTGGAAAAGTAACTGTAGATGATCACATTGTATACTATTCAGGAGAAGACAGCTCAAAACACAAAAATGGTGTAGCAATAATTGTGTCGAAGGAAACAGATGAAGTTGTAAGAAACGTCGTCCTATTCTCAGACAGGATACTGATGATACAAATACAATCAACAACAATCAACGTGAACATATTACAAGTATATGCACCCACACAAGACTATGAACAAAAGTATTAGCACCTACAAAGAAACACGATCTCAATATTATCATGGGAGATTTTAATGCAAAGATTAGTGAAGGTGAACAGGAAGATATTATAGGGAAATATGGCCTGGGAATACGAAATGAAAGAGGAGATATGTTTAATGAGGAGATGTAAAATATGGCATCTTTTTGAGTAGAAAAGCAATTAGTAATAACGAACACAATTTTCAAACTTCCAAAACGTCGTCTTTACACCTGGAAATCACCAGCAGATACACCTGAACGAGTTGTTCGTAACCAAATAGACTTCTTATGTATAAATAAGAGATACAGAAAATCAGTATTAGCAGTAAAAACATATCCAGGCGCAAATGTACCAACAGATCACAATATTTTAGTAGGAAAAATAAGACTGATATTAAAAAAGAGTTGCAAGGACGAATAAGCAAACAGTTACTATTGATAGAGAAAAGATGCTAAATGATACTGTAAAACAAGAAATAACTAGTATATTAGAACAAAAAATGAAGTTAACATCAAGCAAAGAAGAAAGTACTGAGGAAAACTGGACGAGAATTAAAGACATCTTAAAGACTGTTCAAGAAACAAAATTGAGTGCGCTAAAAGTAAGAAAAAAACAAGGGTGGATGAAAGAAGAAATACTGAGTCTTATGGATTAAAGAAGAAAAGTCAGAAATAAAGATAAAAACGAATACAAGAGGATCCACGCAATAATCAGGCAGAAGATAAGACACGCGAAAACACAATTTCATAGTAAAGAATGTAATGAAATTGAACAATATGAACAGACTCACGATACATTTCATCTGCACAAGAAATTAAAAGAGGTCGCTGGGAACAAAACGGAAACAAGTATCCCAAAGTTTAGAAGACAGAAACGGACACAGAATATTAGACATCAATGAAAAGTTAAAAGAATGGGAAAACTAAATTTCTGAATTATTTAAAGATGAGAGTAGAACACTATACACCGATTGCTATATCAGGTCCATCTATAACAGACAGTGAGGTAAGACGTTCAATACAAAGGGCAAAAAATGGAAAAGCACTTGGCCCCGATAAAGTAAGTGCTGAAATACTAAAGTTTTTGGGAGAAAATGGAATTACAGCTCTGTGTAATCTCTTAACAGAATTTATGACATTGGGATATTACCAAGTGATTGGTTAAAGTAGACATTTGTCACAATACCTAAGAAGTAGCAAGTGGCTTGGGTACAAGAGAAGCCTTGTTTAGTCTACAGGTGCTAGTACAGAGATGCAGAGATATAAATCAAAATGTGTACATTGTGCAATCGATTTTAAAAAAGCTTTTGACAAAGTCCGACATAACAAAATGCTAGAAATATTGTAAACAGCTGGATTGGACGATAACGATCTACAAATAATTACAAATCTATACTGGCTTCAAGTGGCAAGAATAAAGGTTGAACAAGAAACTATCGGATGAAATAAATAAAAAGAGGAGTGAGACAAGGCTCTATATTGTCGCGTTTACTTTTTAACTTATATTCGGTGGAAATATTTAAGGAAGCCTTAATGGAGACAACCGAAGGTATTATTGTGAATGGAGTAACCGTCAACAGTATTAGATATGCCGACGATACCTTAGTCCTTGCCAATTGCGGAGAAGACCTTCAAAATCTTATGAACAAAATAAAACAGACGTATGATCAGTATGGATTAAAACTCAAAATTAAGAAAACTAAATATATGATAGTTAGCAAACAAAATTATATACAGGATGACGGTATAAAAGTCGGAGATGTCACACTGGACAGAGTAGAGAAACTCGTGTATCTCGGCAGTAATATCAATGAGAGCTGGAATCCAACCGCAGAAATTAAAAGCCGAATAGAACAAGTCCGAGCTGCCTTTGTAAAAATGAGAAACGTACTTTGCAGTCACGATCTTAGCATTGACCTTAGAGTTCGTATGACATCTTGCTACATCTTTCCTGTCCTGCTGTATGGAGTGGAAGCATGGACTCTAACTGAGGCTATGCTTAAACGCTTGACAGCCTTTGAGATATGGGTATACAGACGACTACTGAAAATAAGCTGGGTTGACAGAGTTAGAAATGAGGAGGTCCTTATACGGCTGAGCCAAACAACACAACTGGTCAATATAATAAAGAAACGCAAGCTGGAATACTTCGGTCACATTATGAGACACCCTGAAAAAATATGATCTTTTACATCTGATCATTCAGGGAAAGATCCAAGGTAATCGTGGTCCTGGTAGACGATGAACATCATGGCTGAAAAATCTGAGGCAATGGTATGGAAAATCAACTACATCGTTATTTAGAGCTGCTGTCAATAAAGTCACGATAGCGAATATGGTAGTCAACATGATATCCAACGATCGATAACGGTCATGGAACTAGAAGAAGAAGAAGAAATGTGGTGTTACAGGAGGATGCTTAGAAAAGCATGGACACAGAAAAAAACTACCATAACAAAAAATGCGAAACATTAAACACAATAAAAATAAGAAAGTTACAATATCTGGGACACGTAATAAGGGGGCAGCGATATGAACTGCTAAGACTGATAATACAGGGAAAGATAATAGGAGGAAGGAGTATAGGAAGAAGGAGAGTGTCATGGTTGAAGAATTTAAGGAAATGGTTTAGATGCAGTTCTATAGAAGTCTTTAGAGCAGCAGTGGATAAAGTAAAGATAGTGATGATGATATCCAACCTCCGATTGGGGCACTTAAAGAAAAAGATATAAAAACAGTTTTAAATACTCGGTGGACAAAAATCCTGCATTTACTACGTATAATGAATGTTGTCTAAGAACAACAAATATTTACTGAGTAACTGAAGGTAAGATGAGCAAAATAAAACACTGAAAAATAAGTATTTATTTATTTACACGACTTTTAATATATTCTTGAATTTCTACAACAGTTTTCCCCTTTGTTTCTGGAATCATAAAATAAATAAATGTTGCTCCAGCTAGACAAAATATGCTGAACATCCAGATACCCCAGTGCAAGCCTAGAAATTTGTTAATGATTGGGAAACTAGTTGTGACGAAAAAAAAGGATGTTCCCATTATTGTCATAATAAATGATACACCTGCGGCTCTAACATCTGGAGTGAAAAATTCTCCCATGATGGCCATTGGAATTGGACCAATTCCTAGTGAGTACGTGATCATGAAAGCCACTACGCTGGTCAAAGGTACCCACTGGAGTGAAACAATCAATGGAGAATTGATGTGCTTCAGGTAAAAAAATCCACCCAATATTATAAGTGGTATAGACGATCCAATTGTGGAGATAAGAAGCATGGATCTTCTTCCAGTTTTCTCGACAATAGAAGATGTGACTATAAAACTAACAAACTTTATACCACCAACTACTATTGCCAAATGGTTACTGTTAAATTTTGTGCCAGCTGCAATAAATATAGGTGCCATAAATTGTACCAAAACGGAAGCTCCTGCTAACATTTGTATCATAGGAAGAACGAATGCTAAAAGCGTTGCGTATCTCTTTTCTTTCGTTGAGAATAAGGTAAGTATATTACCGGAGGAAGAATTTGCTTGAAGTTTAAAAGCTTGTTCAATTTGGTACATATCGCCCTCAATTTCTTTGTCATTTTTATTGCTTCTTAACTTTTTAAGAGCATTTAAACATTCTTCTCTTCTTCCCCTAGAAATAGAATACACTGGAGACTCGGGAGAACATACGCAAAAGAAACTAAAGAGTAATAATGGACTAAGTGCTAATAATGTGTATACTCTAATTGTGAAAAATGACCCCAGCACGTAGCTGAAGAGGCTACCTAAAGGTAGCATACAACCCATCAAACAACCGTATCGAGCTCTGTTGTGATCTTCGCAAATTTCGGTTAAATAAACAGGTATGATAGTGACAGCTCCGTTAAAAAACATAAATATTACGCATCTAAAGACGATAATACAGTACACATTTGTACTAAATGCCAAGCAAACAATTGCTGTACTCTCCCCTAAAGCCATGATGAGGATAGACCTTTTTCTACCGAATACTTCTGCTAATTGTCCCAAAAATAAAGATCCCGCAAGAGATGCTAATGGTGGGAAACCGGCAATCATCGATATTTCGTAAGTTGTTGCAATTCTTCCCAACGGATTGTCATCAGAAACATTTGAGGTAATTTTTGGGATTACGGGTGATGTCCACACCAATTGGGTTCCAGCAACAGTGGCAACCATAGTCCCTTAAAATAAAATGAATATTAGTCTCGTAAAATTAAAGAAAGCAAATATTGGCCACGGAAATTTTACACAGCATAAAACTAAATATGAACAAACACATTCTATTTAATAAAAATAAATATAAATTTGTTTTTTTTTCTTGTTCTTGGCAGACGAAATAGAAACATATTTAAGTTTTTAATTATGTCTTCGAGACCGTAGCACAAGTGATCATCTAGACCCACAATTTAAATTCGACGTAAATATTTCGGAAAACAATACTTCTTAATCAGGCAAATATTTACAGGATGAATGAATGAATCTGTCTCCGGCTTCTATACAACGTGTAGCTTCTCCTTAAAAATTTTAAAGTGTTTGTTTGTCTTAGTGTATTGTATTGGTATGTCCAAATTTACATGTATGACATTCTGCTCATGTCGGATAGACCACAACTGACGAAATGCCCCTGAGGATGCTCTATTAGTAGTTCTTCTGGATCTTCTAGTTGTTCCCCAATGTTTTTTATTCTATTGTTAAATTCATTTTTGATGTTATGTTTTTAGAGTCTTTAGCAATTGAAATTTGATATTATTGATACGTATTATTTACAAAACATAATCAATGAGCAGTTCAATATCCATGTTAAAGGAACAAGGGTCAATGAAGAGAAATTTTTATTTACGCATTGTTTCAGTATCAATAGAATTTTGTGGAATTCCCAAATAAAAACCAAATACATTTGCATTAGATTTATTCTGTCAAATTACCAAATCTTAGCGGTGTGCAATGGGTTTATGGTCTATACCTACCACGGGGTGCAGGTAGGCCAGTGATGAATTTATTAATCTCTCGGGTCCATTTTCAAATCCCTAGTTTTATGACGGTGATGAGTTGCTACTTGGTGATGAGTTTACGTGTACCCTATAAGTTCCATATTCCGAGGTTTTTTGCGCCCGCTATCTCAACAATGAAAAACAATTTCGGTTATAACGTCATCAGTTACAACGAAGTGTTGTCTAGCTAGAGCGTTCTTGTTTTATGACTATCCAAAAGAAAAATTATTGGTTACAAGCAAACAATAGTTTAACCTAGCCTGAGAGAGTTACAAAACCCTTAAGTATGACATTAGATTAATAAAATTCATTAGAGCGAGGAGAATTAACTCGTTTAAACAGAAATCACTAAGCCCAGTTCGGTGGGTTGATGCTCGAGGATGTGGTTCCCTTTTGCCTGGTTTTTGTGTTTTATTAATTTTTTTGGAGGCCGAAGCTGTTTTTTGTATATATATTTTAAGCGCTGTCTAAATAGATCTTTGGAATCATATTCTATTCGATTCACCTAAGGATTACAAATCACAAGAAAATTAACTATTGCATTCATCTTCATAACAATTATTAGCGAGTTAAAAGAGATTGGTTGGCTTATACTGAAACCAACAATCTATTGTACTGTTACGTCTGTAAATTATTTTCCAAGTAAACAACGCTAATGAGAAAACGAACGAATAATTGGAAAAATGTACATAAAAAAATTGTCAGCACATAAAAACACCAATGCCCACAGTAACTTCATAGCAATTTTTATAATAAGATCTAAAATTACCGGAACCATTGACACTGAACTGGAAAAACAAATGATAAATGAAGGAATGAAGTACTTAAACGTTTTTAGTGATAATAGTAATAATTATATAGGTCTTTGGCACATGTATCTAGGTTTGATCCATTTTTGCAGGAAAATATGAAAAATATGCAAACTGCGGCACCGCTATTAAACTATTTTTGTCGTTTACAATATGTGATAAATTTGCACCTAAAGATTTTCAACTCAAAAAAGTGAACCAAATAAAGGACGCCAAATTTTACTCTTTAATTAATGATTTAACACCTGACGTATCTCACGTAGATCAGCTCATCGTCATTATTTGCTATGTTCTTCAAAGTGGTATACCAAAACAAAGAAAGATTTTTAGGATTTCTACCTATGTTTTCTCATGCAAATGAAAACTTGAAGAAAGTTAGTTTAGAATTTTCATGCAATTTAGATTTAAGACATCAGTAACTGTCAAGAAGTGGGATGGAGTTTAGAGTTGTGATAATGCGTTTAATATCTCAGGTAAATATAAGGGACTCCAATCCAGAATAAAACAACATATATTTTTTTTACTGAAAATGACCACTTTTTTCAATATCGTTTATGAATTATACGTATTTTTTTCAAGTTCTACACATAGTGGAATGCATTACAAAAATTTTGTAATAGCAAACACCTAAGCATTCAAACTATTTGTGACACCATGCGGTTTGCTCGTACCGATGCTGTAAAATCCTTAAAGAAAAATTATACATAAATTAAACATTGTCTTTAAATTATTGTAAATGAGCACGAAATAAGAAAAGAATGGCAGCTGTATATATCAGAGTTGTTTTAAGATGACAGGAATAATATTGCCGAATTCTACCAACACTGTACTGACGGCCCAAAAATTATGAAATGCGAGGTAGATCACGCTATAAATAAGGCTAAAATTAGAAAAGCTTGTGGTCCAGATGATACACCAACTGATTTGCTGAAACTAATAGAGGATGATAACATAAAGGTAGTAGTAAGACTTCAGATTCAATATATAACACCGAAGTGATTCCCACAGATAGGCTCAAATCCAGATTGTCGTAATACCTAAAAAACACAATTCGATAAAATGCTCAGAATATCGATTAATTAGCCTAATGAGCCACACTCTTAAAATTTTCCTAAGAATACTTCACAACAGAATTAGACGCAAATTCGAAGATCTCGAAGATACCGAATTTGCTTTTAGAAATGCTATGGGAACCATAGAGGCACTTTTTTGTGTTTAACATCCTATTACGAAAATGCCGTGTATCTCATGTGTTTGGTATCTCAAAATAAATGAAAAGAAGTTGACCATTCTCATCCCTTATCTTTTCCTAAAAGCCCCCGTCGTATAAAAAAGACAACAAAAATAATATTAACGCCATGAAGAATAGAAAATGATTCGGCAGTAGCTATACTTACGGCAATAGAAAGCACTCGTTCAGATCGTCCCCCAGAGATTGTATGAGATGGTTGGATGAAGTGAAATGTGACTTAAAAATGATTAATGTAAGACAATGAAGAAAAAGGATACAAAAGAGGTCTAAATGGAACGAAAAAAGCTAGACAGACAAAGACCTACCTCATCCCAAGGGGTGCTAATGATGCACAGCAGTAGTTACTGTAATTTTCAGAACCGACGATCTTGTTTTGATTGGTCTGTATATTGTACACTTTAGAAACATATTAATAATACACCAAACACTGAAAATTTTTGTTTTCAGTATTTTCTTGTTAGATAAAATGAACTACCTTCACGGATTCGCAAACAGTCGAATCCATCGCTTATTTAATGAGATTCAGTTTGTACATACATGTAAGCAAACGTAAATAAACAAAAGTTACAATTACCTGAAAGAACTGTCATGATCAAGAAAAGTGTGTCCGATTTAGCGCCTTGGTTTTGAGGCTTAAGTTGGACGAGGTTGTTCTTTTCTGTATTGTAAGGCACATACTCTACCCCACTCCTTTCACTGGGCTCCAACTCGGTCATAACGAGACGATTTTTATATTCAAAAATTATATTCTACTTTCAGTAGCACCTTATTCACTGCAAGCTTCAAAACACTGTTTCGATTTCCCATTTTTATATGACAATATTTTTTTTATTAATATGATAAATATTGAAAGAGAGATTAACCATGATTTAAGTTTAAACTTTTTAATGTTTTTAAGTGATATACAATGAGTTTTTTGCTTGTAATATTTTTTTAATACCGTTTTAGCCCATTAATACACGGATTCTTATATAACAAGAGTATGCACATACAATTTTTAGGCCATAAATTTAACGTGAAGATGACTCTGCAAAATACTTATTTGCGTACAGATATCAGACAATGGGAGTTTTTTATCTTGCTTTTTTAGCGTGACGAAAGAATAAACTAACAAAAACATTTATTGACCGAAAGAAAACAATTTAGTATATCGCATTGTTTATCACCAACACATTGCCAGTTTCGATATGAACATATGAAAAATACTCCGGGGATTTAGCAACAAGACAGACATTTCTTCAAATTTCATTCCATCAAACGTCTCTTCATATTTTCAAGAGATATACTTGATTTCTTTCTTTTGGTTTGTAATATAGTATTTTTTAATTAGTCGATCTTCATCCATTGCGTTTATATATTATTTTTGATTAATTTTTTTAATTATAATAATTTAGTTCTTGCATTACTTCTTAATTTTTTGTGTATATCTTTTGTAATGCGTTTCAATTATGGGTTTAAAGACGATATTGTTCCATGCTTCCAAAAACATAGACAAAAAAAATTCCCAAGCTCATTCAGTCTAATGATAATTTTTTTTTCAAAAATTCAGTTTAATTTTCCTGCTTAAGGAAATCTTATAATCGTGTTTCTATAGAAATCATCATCATCATCATTATCAATTAGTCTATATTTGTCCACTGCTGAACGTAGGCCTCCAGTAAAATTTTCACCCATTTTTATTTTGAGCTTCTAGCATCCAGTTTGTGGTGATGCGTTTGATATCATCCGTCCATCTAGGCGGTGGTCGTCCTCTGCTTTGACATGCATCTTGCCTTGGTCGCCATTCCAGAATCTTTCTAGTCCATCTATCATCCATTAATCTGGCAACATGTCCGGCCCAAGCCCATTTAGCCATGGCTATTTTTTCAACTGCATCTGTGACTCCTGTTCTTCTTCTTATTTCTAGGTTTGGTACTTTACCTCTATGGTAATACCTAATATTGATCTTTACATAGCGTGTTGTGTAACTCTTATTTTATCTATTGTTCTTTTTGTCAGAGTCAGTGTTTCTGCACCATATGTAAGAACCGGTAAAACGCACTGGTTAAAAACCTTTCTTTTTAAACACACTGGGATACTAGACTTGAAAATGTTATTCAATCTACCAAAGGCAGCCGAAGCTTGAGGAGTACAATTATAAAATCATTCATAAACCGGGAAAAACCAACAAAAATGCAGACGCCCTTTCTCGAATTAAAATCAATCATTTTAAAGAATGTGCGAATTTTCAAAAGAAAATATCAATAATAGCTTCGAATGATACAGAATCTGATGAAGAGCCAAATGAAATCAATGAAGAAGAAATCACTGAACCTTTTTATTGATTTGTCAAACTGTATAAAACTAAATCACTCATTGATTATTCTAAAATTAAAATATCTAATGATCAATTATTAGACAAATCGCATAAGAACATCATCACATTTCTTAGACAAAATAAAATGGAAGAATACATCACAAAATATTAGACGACGTCTTCGATGAAAACAATATAGATTTTAGCTTATTAAAGATTAATATATTCGGTAGTAAAACTGTCAAAAATCGGAAATATTTTATCATTCCCCTTCCTTTTGATCCTGAAACAACATATATTCTATATCGTTTATGTCCACAAAATGAATTTAACCAATCTCAAATCTATTACGTCGAAAATCTACTTGAATTACCAGTTCTAGAAATATTTTCCTTTATCTTTGCTGATAAAGAAATAAAACTGAGAATCTGCCAAGATGTTATTAAAACTCCGGAACATGATGAAATACCCCAAATACTAGATCATTATCACCGTGGCAAAAGCAACCTCTATCGGGGAATAAAAGGAAACTAGACGAAGAATAAAAGAAAAAGTATAATTGGCAAGGCATCACAAAGGATGTAGAAGATTTTATAAAAAATTGCGAAATCTGTCAAAAAGTGAAGATCTGTAGAAAAAACTTAAGTAACCAGTTAGTCATCACCGAAACACCTAAAACACCGTTCGAAAGAATTGACATAGATCTTTTCGAATACCCTACCAGAAATTATGCATTAACTATCAGAGACGAGCTCACTAAATTCACACAGACGTATCCTCTTGAAGATAAAACAGCTAAATCAGTCGTCAATCATCTTATTATCTTTTTCCAACACTATGGCACACCACTACGCATACACTGTGACTATGGACGTGAATTCGACAACGCTTTGATGAAAGATCTTTGTGAACTATACGACTTAAAACTAACGCTCTCAGGTGTGGGCCATCCACAATCTAACAATTATATCGAAAAATTTCATGCAACCTTAAGCGAAATGATAAGAGATAATCAAGCTAAAAATCCCGATGCACATCCGTTCAATGTTCTGCCTTATGCAGTTATTTGCTACAATAACACAAAAAACAAAACCTACGGATTTACACCATACGAACTCATTTTTGGACATACTTTTCAGACCACCCGAAATACTTTACAATGAAAAAATCCTAATGTCAAAATACGTTAGGGACTTAAGTAATCGTATGCAATACTTCTATAAAGTGACACGAACCAAGACGGAAAGACAAAAAGAAAAGGCTAAAGAAACATTCGATCAACATGTGTCATCAAACCCTCTAGAATATAAAATAGGCAATAAGGTTTACGTCAATTAATCGCAAATTAAAGATAAATTCCAAAATAAATTTAATGCCCCTTTTGAAATCCTAGAAATTCACGTAAATTCTGCTACTTTATTAAATACCTAAACCAATAGAACAATGAAAGTAAATTTTGATAGATTAAAACCCTATCATGAGTAATTTTTTTTTCAGATTCCTTATACTGATCCCAGTCATCCTCTCCCAGTATACGTTAACTCCAATCAACAACACTGTTGGAATCTTTTTTCATGAAGAAACCAATCTCAAAATTTCGAACGGCAAATGGACCTTCCTAGTACAATAAAGACATGCAACTAATCAGAGATGTTATTGACAAAAATGACAAAATCTTAGAAAATTTATTGGATACTATTGAAGAAGATGTACCTCGAATTCTGGCATTTAAATCCGAAGTCCAAACTCATATCAAGTCTTCTCAAACAAATCTCTAGTTCTGTTAATCTCAAATATACAGAAATAATGGCTGATACGAAACAATACACATTCCGAGTGAAACGCAGGACTTATTAACGGAATAGGTTCGATATGGAAATCAATTACCGGCAACTTAGACTCGTCAGATGGTGAATATTTCAATGAATGAATAAATAAAATAACACGCGATGAGTATCAAATCGAAAACTTATTGAAAAATTAAATATCAGTTACAACTTCTGTTATTAAAAACTTTAATAACTTCAACGCCACAATCCGGAAATTACAAATATATGAGGAAACATTCAACAATAATATTAAAGAAATTCAAGAGTCAATAATGAATATCTCTGGCCAATTAAAATTCTATCAATCTCAAATCGATATACTAAACTTTTTTGAATTACTAATGGAAAGCTTTTTATTTATCGAAGACTCTTTAAATGAAATAGTAAATGCCATAACCTTTGCTTGATTAAAAATATTACATAGCTCAATCATCACCCCGTTTGATTTAATTGAATCGCTTAGGCATATACCACAATCGTTACAAAAAAAGAATCTTTCATTATCAATCTATACTTCAAATCTAGCTCAATATCTCGATATTATCGAATTGCAAGCCTATTAATTAGACACAAGAATTGTGTTTGTCTTAAATATTCCTTTAACTGACGCAGAACAATATACTTTATATCGTATGTATCCAATACCAATACTGGATAATCGAATAGGTCTTCATTCAATATTAACAACAACAATAATAAATGCATTGCTCGAAATGATGATTCCTTGTTATACCTTACAATAAATAGCCTTGAGTCATGCAAAACTTTGCGAGCTCGAACCACGATCTGTTACAACACACTTCCATACCCAATCGACAGCGATGCCATATGCGAAGCCCAACTTCTGAAACCACAAGAACGCCTTCCCAGAACATGCCAGACTTCCATAGTATTTTCCAAAGATTACAACGTCCAGAATATCAACATAAACCTGTGGCTCATAACAGTTGCTGACCCACTGCCTATTACCATCAAATGCGAGTCCAGAGACGTCAAATTAGAGACCATTTACACAAACCATGTACTCAAACTACAAACCACGTGCGATGCCTTTATTGGTAATACAAGGGTACACTCTCAGAAATTAATCTACGTTCATGACAATGTTACTTACAGAAGTCACCCAATCCAAATACCATTCAATTGCTGCAAACACTTACCAGCTAAGATCCATCTTTCCGACTTAAAACCACTGAATCTTAGCAAGATCAATACAATAGCCCATCACAAACTCAATCGGTATTCTGAAGAACTCAATAAACCAATCAATGAACCATTCGTCAACAAACATTTGAGCTGTTTCACCATTTTAACCATAGTCGTCATTGTAACTCTTGTTGTTCTTTATGTTATATATAAATGCAGATCCAAGAGAAGATACAGGATAGGAGTTGGCAATACCAATGACAACGACCATCCGCGCTCACCACCAAGACACCCAGAGACAGCCTTCACCAGGAATTGGAGGAAAATCCTTCCAAGACGAAGACCCAGTATCCACCTAAGCGACTCCATAGACGAAGAAGAGCATATCCAACTGAATACCAATAAACAGACAGTCTAAAAGTTGCTGCCACGCATCAACTTTCAT